AAATAAATAAAAAATAAATAAATTTTATTAATAAAATAAATATTAATTACTTTTAAAAATAGGTATATATTGTGTATGTTATTTTTAATTTTTAATTATATACATTATATCATTAAATATCACATTATAAGTTGCGATAACTTCACTATCAAAATTTAATGATATACGAGCATCAAATTGATGAAAGGATCGAAATCTTATTTTCAAAAATAAGGAACCTAAATATATTTATTTTAAAAGTAGAGGGACAAAAATTGCGGATCAACAAAAATAGGGAGACCAAAATTATAATTTAGCATAAGAATTGTTATTAATACATATTCATACTATCACTTGCAAATATTAATCACTACTTTTGATAGTAAATACTTCATATCAATATCATGGTTAAAAATATACTATCATTTTCAATTTATCTCTAGCATAATTTTCAATAAATTTCTTATTTATTAATTCTTTAACTAATTCACTTATATTCTGAAGGAGAAAAGACAAAAATTTGGTAAGGGGATGAAAAAAGTTCCCCATGCATTTTGATTAAAAGAAAAGAAAATTTTTAATAATATATTATTTTGCTTTTATAAATAATTAATATGTTTACTCGTGTCATACACAAAAATTGATTTAATATATATTTTCTATGATAATAAATATATTAAAAAATAATTTATTTTTATTAGTTTCATATTTTAAAGTGTATTTTATTTATATTTTAAAATTATTATTATTTTTATCTTATTAGAATATAAAACTTATAAATTAATGTATACAATAATCAGTTTAATATATTTTTTGACCTTAATTACTATAATATATATGCTAATAATAATATTATCTCTAAAAAGAACATTTAATAATAAAGATTCTATTATGAGATCGCATAAAATGGATTCATTTAATAATATATAATATCAATTTTATGTTTCATTTCTCAACACTCAATCCTAAAAAAAAGTATCATTTTGATGTGTAACATAAACTTATTGAAAAAGATGAACACTAATAGTAATTTCAAGGAGAATAATAATATGAAAAAAGTAAAAAAAAAAAAAATCAATTAAATGAGAATTATATATGTATTTGATTTTATCACAATTCTCAATAATTTTTTAATGAATGATTATTATTACACTTTATTCTCTAAATTTTACTTTAGATGAGGCAAATCCAATTTTCATTCATGTATCAAACACTATTTTTGTTATTACTAAAGAAATAAAATTTATATATATTAATAATAGTATAATATTATTGATAAATTAATATCAATAATATTAATATTCTATTTAAAAGATAAAATTATAATTTTATAAATATAAATTAGTATTTATGAAAATAATTTTAGAAAAATATAAATATATTAGATAAGATAAACATATTAGAAGAAAATTAATTAGAAATATTAATACATCTTGTTACCCGTTAGCTCCATATCAACAAAAGTTATTAGATTTGTAATGGAAAAGACTAAATCATACAATTGTAGTACTTTAATATTTAAATAACTCAATTAAAAAATGAAGGAACAAAATAGTATAATTACGATATTTGAGATATTAAAATCACATAATTACAATACTTGAAAAACTATAAACTCATTTAAGCCTTAAATTTATTAAATAGTGTTAAATATAAAATGTTAATTGCTTAAGAATATTTAATAGACATAATTTGAAATTAGCCTAGTGGTTGGGTGGGGAAGGGTTAGAATTGTTAGAAGCATGAGGACCTAGGTTCAATTCTCATTGTCACTATCTTTGTAATTTTTCCTATCTTTATAAAAAAAAAAGACATAATTTGAGAAAAAAATATACATGAATATGTCATTGTAAGAGTTAAAATATATATTTATTAGTGTAATGGTAAATGCAACTTAGGAAGGATATATTTAAATTATGAAAATAATTATATTTTTTATTTATATTATATAAAATAAATTATGTTTATATTTTTTAAAATAATTTTATAATGTTCAACATAATCATTATGTTTTAAAATAATAGTATAATTTAATATATTATATTAATTATTGATTACAATCCAAATATAAAACTTAAATATAATCAATAAAAATTATTGAATCATAAAATTATATTACATAAATAATATTACTAATAGATTATTTTCACACTAATAATAAGATTAATTTTTTTGTCAAAATTATAAATATTTATGTTTACTATTTAATAGATTCAAGTTCGTTATAATAGAATAATTTGGTCATTTTCATATTTTGCAATTGTAACATTTTCTTTTTTAATTTATCTTATATGCTCTTAAATTATAATACGAGCATGTATTTATTATAATTTATGTTTCAAATTTTTGAAGACTTAATATTAATATGTCGTTTAATATATTTTCATATTATAAGTATTTTTTTTTGTATGTAGGAGTTGAAGAACTAACAAAAGATAACATAAATATTGGAGAAAAAAACTAATTTAAATATAAACTAATTGTGTGTTAAAATTATTTTTCATATTTTAATTAAAAGATCAAATTAAATATAAATTAATGAAATATTAATTAAATGAATTTTCAATTAATTATTAGATGAAATATAAATAAAAAAAATTATAACATTATTTTAATTACATGCATGCAATTTAATAATGTCATTTTAAGAGATGACTATTACATGCCAAATATATGAGGAAAATTATGCACTTAATCACCATAATTTAAGGAGAAAATATTAACCAGAGAACTTATCGATAGGTTATTTGTATTTTATTATAAGTAACATATGATAAGATATATTTAACAAAATATGAATGACATTAGGATTAGATATCTAAAAATGAGATTGGCAGAATCTACATGGAGTTAAAAAATTATATATATTTATTAAATTATAAAAATTAAGTATTTATTAAAAATAAAATAAAATATAAAATATTCACAAATTAATAAAACTATTATTTTATTGATTATAATTAATAGTAATAATAATAGCTAAATATTTACTATTTTTATAACTGATTATTTTAATTAAATTCAATCTCTTGATTTTTTTTATTAATATGTATAACTACTAATTATTTAGAATTTTAAATTATTGGTTACTGAATACTAATTGTAACAATATTATATAATTTTCATAATTAATGATACTAAAAAAATTTATTGCAATTGTAATTTTATAAAAAAAAAATTGATTGTATTTTAATTATTAAAAAAAGTCAATCTTTAATTAGTTCTATCAAAAAGTAATTAATTGAAAAAAAGACAAATTCAAAAAATATTATTTATGTGAGAAGAAAAATACAGAAAAAACAAAATAAGAAGAAAAAAAATCAAGGTGGCTAAAAATATCTCAAGTCTTTTAATTATGTATATTTTTTCTATAAATAAATAAATCTTTCTTGTAAAAATGATATTCATGTTGTCTAGTATTTTTCAAAAATAGTTAAATTTCTTTAATGAAATATACCAATACATCTTATTCAAAATTAACAAATTCACTTTCCTCCTTTCCTTGCAAAATTAACTATTTTACATAAATAAACAATTATAATTCATGTTTAACAAATTGAATCAATAATAATAATAATAATAATAATAATAATAAATTTACCTTTGTATCTTTTTTATAAAATTTCTATCAATTTCTCATTCTTCATTTGTCAATTTTGTGCAACACTAAAATGAAAAGTCTAAAACTCAATTTTACAATAAAAGTACAATGTTTCTCAATTTTTTAATTATCCTTCTCATGTAAAAGAAGTTAAATATGTGTAAGAAAATAATGAAAAGAATGAGAATGAAAGGAAATAATATACTTTTCATCTTCTTGACGATGAATCAATGTAGGATGAGAATTCGATAAGTAGACAGAAAAATTGAATATCCGTTAATAACACAATTCACATAGAGCCAATATGAAAAATATATCAAATTGTGAGAATAATAAAACAACCTTTTTGATGAACTCTTTTGGAAGGAAAAAATATGGAAAGAGGAGAATACTCAAATCTTACTATTCATGCACCTCTTTTTAAGTTGCTTCGTCACCATCAATCTACCATCTACAAAGAATGCAAGAAAATATTTGAACAAAAAATTTGATACTACAAAGAAAAAAATAAAAGGAAAAAACTAACAAAATATATATAGGTGAAGAAAGAGAATATGAAAAAAAATTAGTTATGAAGTAAAAAAAAAATAGATATATATATATATATATATATATATATATTAAATACGTTGTGTCCTTAATTGATGTCATTAATTTATTAAAGACTAATAATTAGTTTCATAACTAATACGAAAGGTTTGAATTGTAAAATGCAGAGAAGTTTAAAAAAAAAAAGTGGATTTTATTACTAATAATGTTTAAGTGAGAAAATTTTTAAAGAGGTATATAGATAACAATAAAGAAAGAAAAAATAAATTTCAAAACAGTTTAATTCACAGTCCAAACCTTATGAACTTTTCATCCCCTCCTCTACCAAACTAGTTACCTTGCAGCGAAGGAGCCGTGATTAATAAAACCCAATTTTACGTATGCCAAATTTGATTTTCCAATTAATAATTTTAACATTCCACCTCCTCATTTCACAATGTCATTATCCTTCACTAGGATCTGGTTAACAAACTTCACAAATACAATTCAACTCACTCTTAAAAGAATAATTTTAGTTTCATAAAGATCATAAACTTTACCTTTTGATTTTACAATTAAGAACATTCTAATTTAGTTTATATACATAACTTCTTTTTTCTCTTTTAGTCTCTATCGCCAAAAAATAACAAACTAAATAAAAAAATTGAAATATTTTAATTATAAAAACAGGTAAAATTCATTTAACTAACGGGACCAAAAGATAATTAAACCTTTAAAAAAGACCCAACGGATTTTATTTTTCTTTGCTAACAAGTTCATTGGAAGTACAGCTCAATCATAAAATACATATGGTAGAAACACCACATGTTGATAATTTGTCCATCTGTGATCATCCCACACTAAAGATAAAACTATTTGATGAAGGCGAGACTCGGAATAAAACTAAAACTCTAGAATAGAAATGAGGGGGATTAAATTTAATTTATCAGGACCATTTGACCAACTACATAAATCAATCATTCAGCACATAATTGAATCGTTAGCAAGTTGATAGTAGTAAAGCATAGTTGTCCTGTACAAATATTTGTATATACATAACTGACACTAAATATTATTATGTTGGAATGGATGTGAAATGAAAGCTGGGTCAACTTCTTGATCCAACCATGGTGCTTGCACCAGTTCCCGTGCTTGAAACAGTTAGTCCTCGGTCATACATACGCTGGATTTCTTCCCTATATTCTGTGAGAGACTTGTCAGGTATGGCTGGTGTAAGTTCAATCACATCTCCCATCTTCAACTTGCTATTGGGGTCACTAACAGGCTTATGATTCAGCCTTGGCCTCAACTCTTCCTTCAGAGGGAACCTATATGTTGTCAACCTGGAGCTTGCACGTCCAACTCTTTTCAACAAATCCAGTACTGTTGAGTTTGCACTAAATTCTTGGACAGACATCTGCACAAGCATTCAGACACAAGCACAGTTAATACAGAAGTGGATAAAATAACTCTAAGAAAAGGAACTTTGGTTGCACAAAAAGACAATGCATGCTCTATTTTCCACAGGCTTAACACCATACCATTGAACACCACAATGGATAAAAGCATCAATTCCAAAGTATATTACATATCATCACTTAAAGATCAGTGATTATCACCTCAAAGGGGAATGGATTCTCTGCAGTGCATGAAATCCTAACCCTTCAATAAATTCCATCAATATAATATATTTCTATTTTAAAATTGGATTTTAAAAGAATAAATGATGAGATTGTGACATTTTGCATCATCAATTTTTTTTCCCACCCGAAAGCATTTTAGGAAACAAACACTATCCAGCTAGTTCAAGAAATAGAACTAAGACTTAACAAATAGTATTGTCTGAGTCGACCAATGACTAGTCAGTATTTAAATTAAGACTCAAAATATGGATTGAAAGACTTGAAAACATTTAGTTGAATATTAGATAGCTTACTAGCACTAACCTTATCATTCTCAATCATGATAATGAACACTGGCCCATCCTGACCACAATCGGGCTTATAAGAATATGGACAATCAGCAGCATGGGAAGGGAACTTGCATGGGGGCTTGAACGAATCAGCATATCCAACAGATGAACAATCTCTACTCATTGCTTCACACTGCCAGGTGACAACCCATCGAGCCCACTCAACCATCTGAAGCACAAAAGAAGAATGCTGACAATCATCTTCCTTATATCTCCAATGAGCAGCAAATCCAAATTCTGCTTGTAAATGCATATCTTTGGTGCGAATTTGTACTTCAAGGGGAACCTTTCCTTCACCCGTCACCACAGTATGCAGAGATTGATATCTGTGAATTATGAAAACAAAATCAGATGATATATAAATGGTCTTCTAAAGTTAACACCACTACTACTGAACCACAACATACCCGTTGAATTTGGGATGACAGATGTAATCTTTCAGCTTTCCAGGTACCTCAGACCATAACCGATGAACAATTGTTAAGGCCTTGTAACAGTCTTCTTCCTTGTCAACAATCAAGCGCAGCCCATAAATGTCATGGATATCATCTATGGTTAGTTTCTTCCTGCATCAACACACAAAAGTGAGAAACTGAAGTGTAGAAAACAGTATAGTTCAGCATATCAGGTAAAAATCCCAAATGGAAGATAAGAAACAAAAGTTATGAACTTTAGCAACTAGAAAAAAAGGAAGGAAAGGTATAGCTTACTTTAGCATTTTGCAATAAATGCTATACAAGCTCTTGTGCCGTCCAGAAATGACATTATAAGATATGCCTTCATCTTTAAGTGCTTGCTCTAATCTCTCAATTGCAGAAGTAATCATTGCATCATCATATGATTCCACAAGCTTAGACGAAAGCTCCTCATGCTGGCTTGGGTTGAGATGCTTAAAACACAAGTTTTCTAACTGTTCCTTCCAACTAGAAATTCCTAATCGATTGGCCAAGGGTGCGAATATCTCCAAAGTCTCCTTTGCAAACCTCTGTCGCTTGGCCACTGGCAATGCATCTAGTGTCATCATATTATGTAACCTATCAGCCAATTTAATGAGGACAGCTCTAGCATCTGCCATGGCAAGGAACATGGTATGCAATCGGTCTGCTTCTACTGACTTGCTAGCTGTATTATTTTCTCGAGCCAGCTTGCTCAAGTGGCTCAGTTTAGAAACCTAAAAGAAAATGCCATAACAATTAGTTAGAATCTTGACAGACAAAACTAATGAGAAAAAACTCAGAAATGCCTGTGTGAAGACATCAATGGATATTATAGTTATAGATTCCTATAAAAATGCCAATAAAACTTCAGCAACCAAAGCACCGAATATAATAAAAGTGAATAAATACTTTGGTGCAAAACTATTGCACTTGTATTGTCATTGCTTCCTTTTGTTAATAAACATCAAGTTTGTAGAACCTCGATACATAAAAACTGTTCTCAATTTAGAGACAAGACATTGACTTCCAGAAACCACCTATCGAAGGGAAAGCGGACATAAGATGCATAGCCTATAGAAAGCTGGATCTTACAATTTTCTAGCATTTTACACTTTTACATTGCAACCACAGGCAACTGTGGTTATGTTTTAACAAGAAAGAAAAGAGCTCTCCCTTCAAATTATGTCCATGCTAAGGATGAGTGCTATTAAGCTATTGATGATGCCACTAATAAGACACCGACCTGGGTACAACAACAAAACTGCCCCTTCAACAGAATCACATAAAATCATTCATAACCTTTATGTTTAAACTCATCCAAAACATTCAACACACATGCACGCACAACCATATTTATCTCCAAGGTCAATGTTCATTAAATTTTCAAAAAGTTCCAACAGCCAAAATTCACTTGCTATCATAGCAATTAACACCAGATCTGAAGTGTAAAACTCAGTTATAACTTCAATCTACGGCGTTGACTCAAATGTTCATCATTAACTTGCAAATCACAAGCATTCATCAATCAACAACAGACATGTGTCCTCACCCCTTCAACCAAATCAGCAACTCCAGCGCCAAACATCCCAAATATATAATCATAAGTCAGAAAGGCGTCATCCAGCGTGTCATGCAAGAGACCCGCAGCCACAACAGTGGAATTGGCACCAATCAAAGCCAGCAACACAGCAGTCTCTAAACAATGCAGCAAGTAAGGATCCCCACTAGCCCGCATCTACAAAAAAAAAAAAAAACAAACAAACAGACAAAACAACAATTCAGCAAAACTTCAAAACCACAAAACACAAACGATGAAGTAATTCAGTTCCACGATTCCACGTACCTGCCCTCTGTGTGCTTTCTCAGCTTCACAAAAGGCCTTGATGACAAACTCCTCACAGAAGATCTTGTGCCTCAACTGAGCCCCCAGAAGCAACTTCTTGGCGTAGGGCTCAAACTCAAACCCACCCTCCACGAAAGTGTCCTCCAAATTGAAGGTCAACTCATCCACAAGAGCAGCAGAAGAGTCAGCAGCATCTAAGTCATAGTCCAAACAAGAAGACCCCAACGCATTCCTCACAAACCCATCAAACAACCCACTAGTCCCACCCCTAACCCTAACCGGGGTGGAACTTCTGCTGCTACTGCTACACGAAACGGGGCCATGAAAAACCGACACGGGACTCTGATCCCTCTTCCACGACGACCCTCCGCCAAACTTGCTCGGAGAATACGAGAAGGAACTGCCCAGTTCCTTCAACTCGTCCTCCTCGCCGGAAAAGTTCGACGACAGCGGCGCGTGCTTCACCGCCGCCGCCGGAGATGAGAACAGGCACGAGAGCCCTCCCATCACCGGCTTCTGAGACGTTGACGGCGGCGCCGTCGACGCCGGCGACGAAGATCGCGACCCCAATTCGAAGTCGTAGGAGGCGTGAGCGTTGATCTGGCAAGGATGCGGCGTGGAACAGACGCTGCTCGGTGGACTCGCGTATAGCGCTATGGTGGAAACCGCCATCGAAGCGAGAATTCAGGTTCAGGTCACAATTAGGGTTTTCAAATTCTCAATCCCAACCCCCAAAAGTAGCTGAGTTAATGGTGAAGTCACAGTTTTTCTTATACCCTTTGAGAAATCTAAGAGAAAAAAAGAATAACCAAACCAAAAATTGGATTTTTTTTTTTTTGGTATCAGTTTTGGGGGTTCCCAATTTGAGAAAGAGAAGATTCAATTTCAAACAAAGGAAAAGTGTTTCCCTATGTCTGTAGAGAGAGGAATTAAATGGAAATGGAAATTGTTTGAAGAATCGAAAGATTTAATTTTTTTTTTCTAGTATCGAAATGGGCGGTGTTTATATACAGAAATTCTTATGAGGAGGTGAAAGGGGGTGAAGAAATAGAGAAAAGAACCCTAAACAGATAAAGAATTTACAAGAGGGGACCGTGGATTGAAGGTGAGAGAGTCAAATACGCTTGAAAATGGAGGCAGGAGAGAGAGAGGTTGGTTCGTCCAAGATTTTCACAGAATCTGGCTTGGTGTGTTGTTTATGTGAGGAGGAATGGCTCAGCGTCAAGGAAAGAGGAAGAGTGAAATGACGGTTGTGCCCTCAGGACATTATGGTAATGACAAGGCATGTTTTAAGATAAGATTGATTTTATTGTTGTTTAATGTTGCAATGGATTTGGCTTTGGTTCACTAAATAACGTAAAGTAAAGAAGGTTGCATAGATATTTAATTTTGTGCCTCATTTGGCATTGTTGCGACCCCAATTGAATCTAGACGAATTGACGGCTATAGCGTTGAGTGAAACTCAAGCCATAAATAGCGTCATAACTCTTACAGTGAATTTGGATGAAAAATTTTACAAATTCAAAAAATTTTAAATTCTTGGTATTTGAATTATTTTGATTTTAATTTCTATCATTCTTAAAATATTTTATTTGGATGAGTTAATTTAAATTTCTTAAATTTTAAATTATTAGGTTGAATATGATAATTTGATTCTATCATATAGTAAAATTGATTTTAAAAATATATTATTTTTAAATATTTAATAATTTTAAAAATTAATATAAGATAATATTTAATAATTTTAAAAATATTTTTGAATATCTAATAATTAAAAGAATGAAGAGATAAGATAAAATATATAGGTGAAATAAGAAAAAATAAATATGAAAAATTTCAAATTCTTTCATTTTTGGAAGAATTTGAAATTCTACTATTTTAAGGAATTTCACAAATGTTTAGATTTCAAATTTTTTATAAATTCCTCATCCAAACAAAGCATTTCACTTCAAAAAATTTGAAATTCTTCAAATAAATGAATTACCCTATATAAATTCATCATCCAAACACACCATTAAATTTTTTTATTTATCAGAATAAGTAATAATATCTTCAGAAAATTTAGTTCCACGTATCATTCCATTTATTATAAAAATAAAAAAATTTATTTATCAATTTTTCTATCTTTATTCTTCAAAAATTTATTACCAAATCTACCTCTAAAATATTTAATGTGTTTTCATTTGTTTTTTAAACCAAATCTTTATCGCTTCAAAAATTCATAACCTTGAGAAAATGGTTCTTTGAATGCGTTCTTACTTCTTAGTGATGAAATATTTCTCCGGATGAAGTAGCAGCGCTTTATTGAATTAATTGCACTTTTAATACATGCATAATTTTAATGGTTGAATTTTAATATATATATATATATATTTCATTAATTTCTCCAAACATGTTTAAAAATTGTTTGGGTACTTAATATATATATATATATATATATTATAACAGCTGGTCTATGTATTTTAAAAAATAGATAATTTTAATCTCGAATATTTACCCACTATCTAATTCGTATTATATAAACATTTGATTTAAGGTAGTGTTAAATATTTAAAATTGTTTATTTTTTAAATAAGTGAATTAAAATTAAGTAATTAAAACTATATGAACCAAAATTACTCGTAAACTAAATTAACTGCATTACTTTCTTTGTTGCTTAAGATACATACAAAATATAAAAGTATAATTAATCTCTTTATTTATGTTAAATTTTATTTTTAATTTCTTATGTAAGGTTATAACAAACAGATAGAACAATAAAAATAATAAACTCTTTTAATTATATTAAAATGAATTCGTAATTTCCTATAACATCCTGTTAAAATCTTATTATACTTTTATTACTTTCTTTCATTGCTTTGATATATTATACGTGTGGTGTGTTAACTTATGCAATGCATCAAATAAATTTTATTTAAATTTGATACATGTAAAATTTTTCTGAGAGATTGTTTTTGTATTTAATGAAAAATACTCTCTAGTAATGAAGAAAACAAATATATTATATATGAATATTAGTGTTAACTAATGCAATGCACCAAATAATTATTTTTTTAATATATAAATTATATTATATATTTATAATATATAAATTGTATTATAATATAAAACTATTTTAACTTTTGATTTTTTTCAGAAAATATTAAAATTAATTTAAAAACTAAGAATAAAATACATGAATTGAAAATAAATAAAATGGTCAGATAAATTTCAAAAAGCAATCTTCATGAAAAAATAAGTTAAAAACATTAAAACCTATATATTAAACACGAAGAGTTATCTAAAGATAACATTTTTAGAATTTTTTTCTTCAATAAGAATGTTATTAAAGATTATTTTAACTTTTTATCTAATTTAATTTTTATTTATATTTTAATTTATTCAATACACATACTAAATATTTATTATATATAATTGAGATTTATAATAAATCATGTATATAAATAAATACTATATTTAAATATATAAATTATATTAAAATTTTGAATAAATGAGTATTTTTAAACACATAAATTGTATTTAAAATTTAAAATTTATGATAAATAATTTGTATTGTAGTACAAGATTATTTTTATTTATTGATAAATTATTTTAAAATATTAAATAATTTATAAATAATTATGATAAATAAAAATTGAATTAAATATATAGTTGAAAAAAAATTAAAAACTCTTTCATGGAAAAACAAACTTCTTAAAATGTTTTTACCTAAAATAAAATTTTGTATTTAATTTATAAGATTTGATTTTTGAATTAAATTTTAAAATTTTTAAATAAATTATCAATAAATAAAATAATATTGATATAAATTATTTATTATAAATATTTAATATAATTAATATATTCAAACATAATATTTACTTGTATATATAATTTATTAAAATTTTTAGATACGCATTACAATTACTAAAATACTAATTATCATAAAAGAATAATTTTTTTCTTAATACATCAAAATTATAATGATGATAGTAAGATTTAATCCTAATACCTTATATATTGAAAAAAATTATATTAATATAATGGATTAGATCAGAGTTTTGGGGAAAAAAATTGACTCCTTGAATTTTTTTAATATCCAATTGATTTAATTAAATTTTAAATTCAATATGAAGTGGTTAGGTTTTAGTGTTGCTTTATTTTTCTTTAAATAATCATAGTAAAAAGTTAATTTAAAATTTTAAACGTTTCTTTTTATACTATATAGACAATAGTAATATAATTCTTTAAATATATAACATTAAAAAAAGTGCAATAATACATTAAATTATTATACTTAATATAGTATAGCTACTATACAGTAAAAAATATACAAGATTCAACTACAATAAGATTTTCATGTAATAATATTTGGACATTCATGTAACACATATATGTATAGATGCATAAAATATAAGACAAGTCTTGCTATTTTTAGCTGGAAAACATAAAATTCCTTATAAGTTACATATAACCCTATACATATATATATATCATATACAATATTGAACATAAAATAACCTTATCATTGGTCAATCGACTTTATATAAAATAATGTATCAAAACACTACAATAAAATAAAATCATCTTCAGTTTGTCATCCACCAAGCATGTCCTCCAACCTAATCTTGTCTACTTCTATAATAAGTATGATTATTGAAGTCTAACAACATGGAAAAACAAGAGTAAATTTGTGAAAGAAAACAATATATCAATAGATAAGAAGTAACAATTTCAACAACACAAGCAACAAAAAACAACGGGTTAGCTTTTCAACTTAAAAGCATAACAACAATTTCAACATCAGTCATAACTTAACAATAGGAACAACTAAAAAATCAATTGAGAATTTATCAATTGAATAACTCATAATCAATCAATAATTGAATAATTGGAAATCAACTAAACAACCAAAAATCATCAACCGAGCAATTTAACAACTCCAAACACAACAAAGCAATTGTTAAACAATTAATAACAACTACTAAATAACTAAACAATAGATGTGTTGTCTAGCATATCAACTAATGGAGATCTTCTAAAAACAATAGTGAATAGTTTATGTGACTAGACCCTATCGAATCACAACGACTATATAAAATCATAAACAAAGGTTGAAATGGTGACCAAAAACAACAACTAGTATAATATTAGAAACAATGGTTAGGATGATAGTTAGATTGAGTTCTCACTTCTCAAGTTTTGTTACTTAAACTATGAAAGTTTAGTATTATTGTCAGGTAGGACAACTTGGATGTGAATCTACCATGACCTTAACTTGCATAACTAAGTTTCTTATGGGATTATCTCGCCGACTACCCTTTAAATACTATGCACATTTTCAGTAATTCGTTAAGCATTTTAACCCTCAACTTTATATCTTACTTAAATGATCACTTTATACACATATTGTTTGACTTAGCCCTCGTACAATTCCACATAAAACACAAAAGACAACTTAAAAAAATACTATCTATTAAGGAATCAACTCACTCACTAGAGGGTTATCAAATTTGGCCCCTTTGAGTGTCACAACTAATATCCACACATAGGGATATGAAAACTTTCAAAAATAAATTTTCTCTCCTCTAGTTTTTATGTATCTCTAGAGGCATGTATCATGGTACCACATTTCTAAACAACTCAACAAATTCAAACAATATACAATTTGCAATTTAATCAACTTTAATCAATTATCAACTTACAACATACAACATCATGCATTCACAACACCATTCAATACAACGTGTCTCATGCACATCAGAACATAGTTCACCACATAACTTAATTAACTGAATATGTTATTTCTTCTTTATGACAAAACTTTTTTAAAAACAAAACATGAACAACATTCACATCACAATATGCATGTGTACATTCTGTAACACCCTTTATCCCAACATACATATACAATAATTATGAAAACATATTCTTAAAGTAAATAAATCTTTTGAATTAAAACAATGGTTCCACTAACATAAAAGTAGAGAATTCACATTCGTAAACATAAATCATGGTCAAATGCGGAATTTACATGAAAATGGAACATGAGTTTTTCCAAAACAAAATAACATTAATGAAATCCTAAACTAAGCCTAACTATGCCCTGATGTCACATGTCCTATCAGAGTACGCTCAATCAAAGCCTAAGCCTCATCACCAACATCTTCATGATGATGATCACCTACAACACAATTTAAACA